TGATGATCTGGTTTTTGATCAGCTTTCCTCTTCCTTTGGTATGACCTTCTTTGTCATTACCTCCAAAGGTAACTCTGGGTCCTTTGCATTTCTGGAACTCTGTTAGGCAACTTCTGTCACCTGTCATGTGCCTGGAGCATCCACTATCAATAAACCATTCTTGTTCAGAGATAGCTCCAGCACATAGTTCCTGCAAGATCAAAAGAAAGATTTAGGTACCCAAGCAATGCTGGGTCCTGGGGGTCATGGAGTCTGGGTAGTTGGTACCATTTTGGTCTCATCAAGTGAAACCTTGGTGGGTGGTACCCATTGTCCACCTGGTAGTTGTAGTAGACAGAAGTGTGATTCACTTTGGGCAGATGCTTGTGAGGGTCATGCTTCCTGTTTACATACTTTTGCATAGCTTTCTTTGTTGGAAAGAAGTCCCATATACTATCAAGAGCGGAGGGACGGTTAACTTTGGGCTTCTGAAGTTGACCAGCCAACCTCTTCTTCCTGAAGTTAACTCTCTCTTGATATTTGCCCTTCTGGTGATCATCTCTGGTACGATTGACATGAGGTTGTCTGTCAATGAATGGTCTTTTATTTTTGTTATTCTGAAAACCTCTTCTGTTGTTAGGTTTTCTGCCAGGTTCATTATTTTTCAAAAAGGGTTTCTGTTGAACCTTTATCTTACCCTTTTCTGGTCTGACTTCCTCATGAACAACCTTGGTGCCAGATACACCAGCTTGACAGATGGGGCTAGAAATCAGTGGCTCTATGACCTTATCTGCCTTAGCAACTCTGGTGCTAGGCATTACAGAAGGCTCACCTGATTCTGTTGAGCCATAATCAAGACCAAAACCAGTGCGAATCTGTTGATCAAGCACAATCTTTTCCATGGAAGACTGGGCCTTCTGGTAAGCTTTGTACTTAATCTCGAGAGGCTCTATTTCTCTTATTCTCTTAAGAAGAGAAACATTTTCAGTCTCCAGTTGATCTCTTTCCTCAATTAGAAGATCGATTTTGATCTCAACCTCCTTCTTTAAGTCAAGAATTTCAGCTTTTAACTTACTGTTTTCTTCTGTTACAGAAGAATAAGTGGCTTGTATGGCCTTAAACTCTTCCCAAAATTCTGACATTGAATCAGAATCAAAAGCTAAGCCTACCGAAGAAAAACTAGATTCAGAAGTAGAGGTTACCTCATCATCAGAATGAGCCATCAGGCAAAGGTCTTCTGTCTCAGTATCCAGGCAACAGAAGGCCTCATCAGAATCTGAGTCAGAACTGGATTCTGTTTCTGACAGAGGGTCTTTCTCCACCTGTTCTGTCACAAGTGCCTTTCTCCTTCTGGAGTTGTCCTCGTACTTCTTCTTTTCTCCATCCTGTCCTTGCTTCTTGGACACTCTAGGATGGGGACAATCAGCCTTGAAGTGACCAGGTTGTCTGCAATTGTAACAGAGAAGCTCTCCACTGCTTTCTGTTGATTTGACCTTCTGGTATGGCTTTCTGTTGAAAGATGGACTCCTTCCATCTTTGGGATTCTTCATAAACTTTTTGAATCTCCTGGCAAAGGCAGCCATATATTCATCAGATAAAAGTACTGAAGGGTCAAAATCATTTACCTTAGATGTGCTGGCAGTGAGGGCTGTAGTGGTCCTCTCTTCTGGTACATCTTCCTTTTCTTCAATCATTTCAAACTCATGAGCTTTGAGATCTGAAATGAGCTTATCAGTGGGATAAGTCTTTACATCCTTGCTGGCTTGGACAACAACTACTTTCATCTTCCATGCTGAGGGCAGTCCCCTCAACACCTTCAGGTTGATCTCCTTGGTTGTGAGATCCTTGCCAAGCTCAGAAATCTCTCCAGTGAGAGTGAGGAGCCTGTCATACATCTTGGAGATGCTTTCGCCAGGGAGAAGTTTGAAGTCATCAAACTTCTTGTTGGCTATGGTTAGTTTGTTGTCCTTCTCTTGCTCATCACCAGCTCCAATGAGCTCAAGAGTATCCCAGATCTCCTTAGCAGTCTTGCACTTCTTGATTCTGTTGAAGTATCTATCATCAATGGACTTGTAGAGGATGTCCTTGGCAATATTGTCTAAGTTGTACTTTCTCCTCTCTTCAGTGGTCCATTCTGACTTGGCTTTGCTAATCATCTGGGGCCTGGTATTGTCTATGGCATGTTCAGGGTTGACCTTCTGGAAGCTAGTGAAGGGGCCAATATCAAGAACTTCCCACATCTCATTATGCAGGGCACAGAGATGTGCTTTCATCCGGATCCTCCGGTCATCAAACTTAAGATCTGAAAACATAAGATTCTTGGACAAGGAGTGATCCATTATATCAGATAGAAATGAGGTAAAACAGAAAAACAAGTGGATCTTTGTTCAACAAATAACCTAAAAGATTATTAGAACAAGGAGGCTCTGATACCACTTGTTGGTCCCGGTTATACTGGATACAGTCTAGAGGGGGGGGTGAATAGACTGTATTGGTTTTTAGCTTTTTAGACTAAGTACCAGATTTTCAGAATAGCCTGTTCTGTTGAAAGAACAGACTGGCAGCGGATGGGGTTCTGGCAGGGAGTTCTGTTAGCCTCAGAGAAGCAAAGGCAGAAGGCCTTCTGTTAACTCGTAGAACCAGTTCTGCTGAACACAGATACCAAGTCCAAGGAGTTATACAGTTCTATCTAAGTGCAAGTATTAAAAGCAGTAAGTAAACGACACCAGGGATTTTTATAGTGGTTCAAGGAACAACTCGTTCCTCTAATCCACTGTTCCACTAAGCTGTAAAAACTGCCGTTTACAAAGCCTTAGTCCTAGCACTTAAGAAGCACTCCACGTCTTCTTCAAGTCTAGATGTGTCCTGGGATGCACTGCCTGGCTTCCTTTAACACTGGTCCTTTCACTGAGTCTCCTTGAAGTATCACCACTTCACTACTCCAGTTATTAGGACGTCCTTCTTGTAGCAAGAAGAGTTTCTGTTGAAACTGAGGTTCCTCCAACTAGCTTCGTTACAAAATATGTGTATGTGAAAAGCTTGAAGAGTTGAAGAACACTTGGAACTTTGCTTGAGTTGGAAAGAGTATTTTTCCAACTTCTGCCTTCTCTTGTAGAGTATACTAAGTTTGAATCTCAAGGAGGCTTTTGCTTTTCAGAGTTTGAATATCTTGCTTGATTAGCAATGTGATAGCAAAGTTATGGCAAAGTTATTCGGTTGTTCTTCGTAGTGTATCTTTTATACTGAGGTTGTCTTCCCGTTGGAGGAGTAGGAGGACAACTGCATTAAATGAGCGATCAGTTGACTTGACTAGTAGAGCCCGGTAAGGTTGGCGGGTTACTATTTTGGGATAAAGTATTCCTGACATTCCGGCCAATCATCTGCAATTACTCTACGTAGCATGGGGTGCATTAAATGAGCATTTAATGCATGCACTGTAGCTTTTCCGTTTTATACTCCTAGCCGTTGAAGGAATCTTTAAGTTGACTTCCCGGTTCTTTGAAAATCTTCTAAGTGTCAGACCTTCTGGTGTCTTTGTCTGAGAGTAGAACAGAGGAGGTCTGGAGCACTTCTGTTGGGAGTATCCAACAGAGACCCAGAAGGGTTTCTGTCAGAGTCAATACTAACAGAGGTCCTGAGGACTTCTGTTCTGGAGCAGAGAACCAAAGGTCCTCTGTTTCAATAAAGCCTTAAGAGGCACTTCTGCTCTGGGAGCCCTTCTGTTCTTGAAGCACTTCTGCTCTTGAAGCACTTCTGTCAAGTCGAATACATCTAAGAATTTTACAAAGGAAAATTCTAATACATAATTTCTAAAGGGGTAATCTAAAGTCCTAATTAATATAGCATCATCAAAATCTAAAATACAATTATTCCTTACAATACACTTCGAGTCCATTTTAGATTTTATGGCTTCTCGCTACCTCTATGAATCAACATCTAATATTGCTTCTATGTGGGTCTCAGGTTCATCCGTATCAGGAATCTTAACATCATCATGATCCTCCATGAGGAAGCCAAACCTAGTTAGTTCATGACGAATCCTAGTAGACCCACAAAGTTGAATGTTTTGCGTTTTGTTCAGGCTGTTCATTCTGATCGTGAAGAGGTTCTCTTTCATTGGACTATCCAATATTCAGAGAGTTTCTGGTGCTTTACTCAGAGAGAGAGAGAGTTAGGTGCAGGAGGAATGACAACCATGCCATCACTTTCTTCATAAGAATCACCTGCTGGTGCGAAGCGCTTCCTATATTACTCCCATTAGCTGAAGGATATACTCCTAGAGACATTCTTCGACTTAATTCTCCTACTGAATCCTTCGTCAGACCATCTAACAAATCTTCATTCTCTATGTTACTTCATCTTTCAATTTTATTAGTGCACATTTCTTTACATATGTAGGGCAACCCATATTTAATATGTGAAGAAAATGACTTTTATTATACCACAACTCATATAGTACGTTTTGCACTAATCAAACTATTCAGAATGCATATTGAGATTTATAGTGTGTACCCTAAAAAGAATGTTTGGAAGAGAAAATGAATTCATCATAGATCTAGCCATGTCTAACAAGGCCCTATTCCTCCTTGCAGAACGTCACACTTCTGAGGTGTTCTGGAGGAGTTCATTATGATCGAATTCTTCGATCTTTTAAATAAATCAGAAACTTTACTTAAGTACTCTTTGGCTTGCTATCCTTTTTCCTAGAAAAGGTTTATTAGTCAATTTACTTGAAAGACAAGATTCACAAGTTCCATATGACTCAAAGTCAAAAGGTGTTAAATAATCTAATTTATTTAGCGTTGCTATTCTTGTTTCATTAATTTGACCAAGTTTGCAATGTCATAGATAGGTAGTAATTTTTCTGATTACTTAATCGAGATCTTTTTATTTTATTCATTTAATATCTGATATGTCGATTGATAATTAACCATTCATAAGAAAAGCATTTCCACAACAACACCATTTTATGAAAATAACAATTATTATTAGCAAAATGGAAATATAAATCTTTTAATGTCTAACATATGAATGGAAATAATCTTCTTGGTAATAGAAGGAATAAAATAACAATTATTTAATTCTAATCTAAAACCATCGGGCAAATCTAAACTATAAGATCCTATCACGTTCAGCAGCAACTTTTGCTCCAGCCTTCACGCGTAGGTCAATTTTACCCAGTCCAACTTCTACACTGCTTCTCAGGCTTCTGCACATTTTTACAAATGTGTAGGCTATAAGTTGTATCTAATACTTTAACAATGAGAGTTAGTTATAGACATATTTATTTAATGATAAAAATACCTGAGCTTGAAGCACCTGGTGCTTTGGCTAGATTAGCCTTATACAGCTCACAATCTCTCTTCCAATGTCCCTTTTCTTTGCAGTAGAGACAAACATCCTTTGCAACCTTTGGCTTCATATGACCTCCACCTTTAGGCTTCAGAGTTGTAGGAGTAGGTCCAACCTTACCTTTCTTCTTTTGCTTATTCTTGTTCTTAGAACGAGACTTAGCATTAGAGCTTACCATAAGAACAGTCTTTCCTTTAGAGGTTGAGGCTTCATAAGACTTGAGCATGTTATGGAGTTCAGGCATGGTTGCTTTCGTTTTGTTCAAATTATAATTCACAATGAAGTTAGTAAATGAACTCGGAAGCGAATATAGGATGATAGCAGCTGAGACACGATCCTCAAACTTAATTCCGGTGGTAGCAACTCTTTCAATTAAGCCAATCATTTTGAGGACGTGCTCAGACACGTTGCCACCCTCTTGAAGTCTACACTTGAAAATGTCTGTCAGAAGTTCATACTCTAGAGTCTGACTCTCTGAATCAAACAGACTTTTCAAGTGTTCAAGCATCTCGAAGGCACTCATCCTATCGTGTTGCCTTTGCAACTCCATAGACATTGCAGCCAACATAACACATTGCACAGTTTTAGCATCAGTAACGTGTTTCTCTCGAGCAGTCAGGTCAAACGTGGCAAACTCGGGAGAGTTAGCATCAGGAATCTTGGGTACTGGTGTGTCTAACACATATTCAATATTTTCTTGTCTAAGAACTAAACGCACATTTCTTTCCCAGTCCAGAAAGTTTGGTCCAGTAAGCTTGCATGTATCCAAGATACTTCTCAATGATAAATTCGACATTCCTAAAAGCCTAAAGAAGTTCAAATAAAACGGAATTAAAATCATATATTAATTCCTATGATCATATCTAGTTAACTAAATAATATGGACTTTTAATTATTTAGCTCCCACTATTTTTTCATGCTCTTTGACCCCAATAAAAAGAACATGGGATGTTTTACAATCATAGTGGCCAAGATCCACATTCATACTATTATAGTCCCAGCTTGGACTGATCACTGTAATAATATCAAGGGTAGGTACCTAGACCAATTGTATCCAAACAACTCTTGGTTGATCAGTTTTTAAATTGATCGACATCCTTAAATTAACACTGACGCTTGGGCGACTCGAGCTAATTTAAGTAAGTCATAACCATCACACGATCACAAACATGTGTATCTATAAATTAGTTCTATATTTTGTCGAATGGAATAAACACTTGGGTGAAATATTCTTCAACGAAAAAAATATTTCTACTAATTTAATTATGATGGGTGATATCGTTATCCTAGATAAGACTTAAATTTTAATTTATGGAGAACATTTATCGGGGTATTAAATTATTCTATTTAATCAAGATGCTATAACATATTATCAAATAATATGTTAACGCGCGAGATCTAACTCAGACATGTAAAATTAAAGCATGCAATATAATTCTAATTTATAAACAGATATAAACAACAATTAATATCAACATGCTAAAAACAAATGATAATAATATAATTATCGATCAAATCAAATAATTAAGATAAAGCATGCTTAAAAATTACAATCATAAATATTCTATTTAAAATGATCGTAATTTAAAAATCATCCCTAAAACTTTACTACCACTATCGTAGGACTGTAGGAGTCTTGATAGGCCTCAAGATGAGTTTTAGGAAGTTAATAGAAGAAGTCCTGAAATAGACGAGTCATCTCCTAATCATGCGCAGTAGAAAAATTCGCTTCGGATTTGCCGATCACATCAGAAAAATCACGCTGCCCAACAAAATTACAACAGTAGATGGAAAATCTATTTGCAAAGATTGAATCCAACAAATCTTTTAATTGACACGACTCGCCAGACTAGGCAACGAACGATTTTTTAAGATGTCGTGGATGCGAATTCTATCCTCTGATTCGTTGGCCGCAACTCGCCGGTCGCGGCTACACTTACCGGTCATTTTGAAGTGCGAGACACCATTAATGGTGGTCCAATTTGAATCCTTGATGTCACCAGAATTGCAGAACAAGATCTTGGAGATGACAATATTGCCGAGCTAATTTTCTGATTTACGCAACACAAAAAGGATTTCCGATTCCAAATGGAAAAACCCAGATTTTATTTATTTTAATTTCTAAAATTAACCTCTAGCAGACTTTGATTTTACAAATCAAATAAGTAAAAATCTTCAAATTTCAAATCTAATCAATTTCGTAAATTAGTTTAGGGCAAAATATAATTTCTGAAAAATTACATATTTTAACCCACAAAAATATTATCAAATTCGTATAATGTCATTTTAATCAGTTTGGCTCTGATAGCACTGTTAGGAAATTGATGTAACGTACCTCGAAAGTACGGCAGCGGAAGTTTAAAATTTTCCCAAACAGATCTTCCCTGATTATGACAGAACAACGAATATAACAATAATAACAGATCTGAGTTAGAACTTACAGATCTTCCAGCCTAGCGGTGATAATCCTTGACCTTTGGTATCCACGTGATTTCTCCTTTCGAAAGAACGGTTAGATCTCCCTAAGAGAGGCTAGGAAATCTCTTCGCAGGGAAATAAACTGGTAATACTGAATCTGAAAACTGGTCTATTAATAATGAAGGAGGACGATGTATTTATACTAGTTCTAAACTAGTTTCCCAATCACAATAAAGGTCTTTCTCATTAATTCATTAATGAGTTCTAGTCTAACTAGGACCAATACCATTTAATAATTAAATAAAGATATACTCCTTAATAATAATAAAACCTACGTACATAGTAGAGAGGAATGGGGAATCCGCCACCTCATTCTCTTTATGTACATTTGTTGTTATTATTATTATTTTATTTGTATTTTCTTGAACTCATTTTAATTCTAAATTTCACTCAAGAAAATACCAACTTTATTTAATTATAAATACATTTTAATTAAGTATAATAAATCTAATTTATCAGACTTAATTAATTCTATCAAATAGAATTCTCCTTCAACATCACGAATTAAATATGTTTAATCTAATTAATATTTAATCCATTTTCAGTATTACTAATTAAATATTATTTAATCTAATTAATAATATTTAATTCTTTCTAACAGTTCAATCGGAAGGTATAATCACTAGTTGTGTGACCCATAGGGCCTTATATATTAAGCACTAATCAAATTAAGGTCTTAGTAGAATCCCTAGACGATTTACCAGACAAACTTAATATATAAGGACGTTTGCGAGGACTATTCAAACTCCCTGTGATATAGAGCTCATAGTGATACGGTCCTTTCATTCAGCGAACATTCAACTAAGTCTAGAACATGATATTGTGTCTATTCCAATAACTTAGTCTCTGTTTCTCAATCTTTCTAAATGATCCATAACGATCATATTCGATATCCAAAACGAATATATCTTTGCATTGGCCAATGACTTTATGATCCATCTAGATATGAGAAGTAGAATGTTCTCTCTTAATCTATTACGAGGAATGAATCCTTTCTTGGCTCAACTACTACTCCATGTGCTTCGTGATGCACCCAACACATGCCGTATCTACCCCGATTGGAATGCAAGCGTTGGTCATGGTCAAAGTACATCACTCCGCACATGTAGTACGTATTGACCTCAAGTCGGAGGACTATTACACTACTCTATACGCCGATAATCCCATAGACACATGAATAGAACTTATCAAATGGTTTCTCGGTGGGTATGCCAATATTCTCTAAAATATCTATGTGACCATCATGAATTACAGGAACTCATAGTCGTGAGATCAACTATACTTTCTAAAAGTATGATGCAGTCCACATACCAATCTTATCGCATATCATCAATATCCCATTCTTGATGATCATTGATTGGGGCTATTTTAGGACCTTATGTTATATCATATAAGCTCCCACTTACTTATTGACAACATAAGTCCAAGGGAACACAATTATGAATAAGATATTGACAATTGAAATACTTAATCGTCAATGTGTAATACCGTATATATCAAATATATAAAACTGAATGTGATCAAGTACATATATCTCTAAAAAGTGATTGTCGCTAGGACATATATACTAACAATCTCCCACTTGGCCTAGTGCCAATCACCGATGCATCTAACACCTAGTCTCTTAAAAGTCTAGTATGTTTCTCGCATCTCAGAGGTTTGGTGAATGGGTGAGCCAAATTGTCCTCTACGGGAAGGCATTCTATTGCAACTTCTCATCTTGCTATTTGTTATCAAAACATGATAGCATACTGGTATTTTCTAGTTCCTTACTTCGCATCTTGGTTCCTTAGCTTGTGCAAATGCACCAGGTACAATCACAATAACAATTATTGGATAACTGTCGCTAGGAACTACCCCTGTGTCTTTAAGGAATTAACATATCTAAACGTTTACCTTGGTTGTATCAAATGCAACAATTTACTAGGCTCTAGTTGTCGAATTTATAGTAGTTTCTAACTTGTAACTCTTTCAGCACTACTATTACATTGAGACTAAAAACATATATTGACTGTGACTCGTAGTCTTTCTTATCATACATGAAACTAGTGCTAGAATAATTAAATTCTACTAGTCCTTTTTGTCTACCATAGACAAAAAGATGTTCATGAAGATTTTGGGTGACCATCCTTTCACGGACTTCAATGAGGGGATATCATTCTCTATGATCAACATATATCATTATAAAGACCACGTTATCCTTATTGCGCACTCTAAACACGCAAACATCCTCATTTCATTTGATGAGGTCAAACGATTTGACTATTTCATCAAAATTAATATTTCAACTCCTAGAGGCTTGTTTTAGCCCGTAAATAGATTTCTCTAATTAACATAATGATTTAGAATTTGACATGGATGCAAAAGCCTTCAGGTTGTACCATGTACACCTCCTCCTTGAGGTTTCCATTAAGAAAATGGGTTTTGATATCCATTTGTCAAATCTCATAATCATAGTATGTAGCTGTCACAAACAAAATCCGAATGGTCTTGAGTTTTGCAACTGGCGAATAGGTATCACTATAGTCAATTCCTTCTCTTTGACTATAACCTTTAACCACTAGCCTAGCTTTGTATGTTTGCACCTTTCCTTCGACATTAATTTTCTTCTTGAAAATCATTTGCATCCAATGGGTCCAACCCCAACAGGCAAGTCAACCAAGTTCCATACTTGATTGATACACTTCGAGTCCATTTTAGATTTTATGGCTTCTCGCCACCTCTATGAATCAACATCTAATATTGCTTCTATGTGGGTCTCAGGTTCATCCGTATCAGGAATCTTAACATCATCATGATCCTCCATGAGGAAGCCAAACCTAGTTAGTTCATGACGAATCCTAGTAGACCCACAAAGTTGAATGTTTTGCGTTTTGTTCAGGCTGTTCATTCTGATCATGAAGAGGTTCTCTTTCATTGGACTATCCAATATTCAGAGAGTTTCTGGTGCTTTACTCAGAGAGAGAGAGAGTTAGGTGCAGGAGGAATGACAACCATGCCATCACTTTCTTCATAAGAATCACCTGCTGGTGCGAAGCGCTTCCTATATTACTCCCACTAGCTGAAGGATATACTCCTAGAGACATTCTTCGACTTAATTCTCCTACTGAATTATTTACGAGTTATAAAACTAACAATGTGTAATACCGTATATATCAAATATATAAAACTGAATGTGATCAAGTACATATATCTCTAAAAAGTGATTGTCACTAGGACATATATACTAACAATGGAGTTGTGGGTTGTGGATTGGGTGGATCTTGAAGGCTCAACCATTGGTGCCCTGGTGCCAAATAGAATCAGATGAAGTCTAGAGCTCACGAAGCCGAAGTTGTAGCAAATCACGATTGGAAGTAAGGAAATGATGATGGTCACAATTGGAACGCGATGACAAAATGAAGGAGGGCAACAACGACGGCAGCTCTTAAGGATTATGATTGGATTCCTGGAGGAGTGTCTAGCAGATTGAGGAGTGTCTAGCAGATTGAGATATGGCTTTAGAGTAATAAAATGACAAAAAATATAGACACGTCTATGACAATATGACATATATGTAGTATGATATATGATGCTATTACATGGACTATTTTCGGTCCCGGACCAGAGCATACTTAAATAGACTTGACCTGACCTAAAAAAACAAGACCAAATTTCGACGAATATAAAATACACGCAAACCATATTAGTCCATACCATTTCAGACCAAGCCAGAAAATTTTAGTCAAATGAAAAACATTCGTAAATCTTGCGTTTGAAATAGTTTTAAAGAAGAAGTGTAACAACTAACGGCGGTTATGAATTCAAGTCCATTGGCCTGGAATCGACTCTCATTATCCATTTTTTAAATATTTTAAACAAGTAAATCTACCGGCAAAGAGTTGTGGCGCGGCGGATAAATGATGTGGAAATGGAATTAAATCGTGACATGACACCTACAACTCGATGACTAGGAAAACACCTATGTTTGACAAATAAGTTTAAAAATACCTTAATTTGGAAAATAAGATTAGAAAGTACCCTAAGGGAAATCATTTCTTTTATATATAGGATCCCTTTGGTAAGCTCTATTTTCAACTTATCAACCTTATTAGTCAATTACTCAATTGTTTTACCAAACATGGATTTCTATTTCACACACTAGGATTATGAATTATGAAATAGCCAAATAAGGAAGATTAGAGTAACTTTTCTGACTGAATTGACTGCAATTACTATAAAGAACTATATTAGCTATTTTATAGTATTTACATCATCTATTTCAAATTGAATTTGGATTTGCAGTTTTTAAAGTTGATTGGCAATAAAGTTAAATCACCTAATGGATAGTTAATCAGTTTTAATAATTTAAAGGGAAAAATTGTTGAAATAGAGGTACAAATATTTGGAAATTTAAAAATATGGCGGATGAGTTTTTTTCTCTTAAATAGAAGGGTGTTATTGTCATTACAAAAATTTATTATCATATTTTGGCAGTATAAGGTTTTAAAAAAAAATTGGAATTAGGACTTAGATGTTGTTGTATGAGATTTTAAACATGACAGTGAACTACCATAAGTGACATTGTTTTTATAGTTTGTCAGTAATTGCCCCTATTTTGAAAAAATTCCACTTTTGGTTCCATAACTATTATACCACTTCCACATTTAGTCTCTTACTTTCAGATTGTCCACATTTAGTCCGTGATCATTATCCCCTCACCACCCCTCGTCCTTCTGACCAAAATTCCGGTAAATCTAGTCTACTTCTCAGCCTTAGAATCAGTCTTTGCATTAAATTTTGTATCAAGTTGGGTTTTTCATATCATTCTTTGCATTAAATTTGGTTTTTCATACCTAAAATCTGCATTAAATTTGACAAAATTTTGGCCGGAAGGACGAGGGGTGGTGAGGCGATAATGGTCACAGACTAAATGTGGACAATCTGAAAGCAATGGACTAAATGTGGAAGTGATATAATAGTCATAGGACGAAAAGTGCAATTTTCCCCCTATTTTTACGAATAAGTTTAAAAAATACCTTAAGGAAATAAGATTAAAAGTGCTTCTCTTCAAGAGGAAGTCGTTTCTTTTATGCAGAGGAACCTCTTTGGTAACATCTATTTCCAATTTATCAACCTTACCAGTCAATTGTTTTATCAAACATGTAGTTTTTTAAACACGCACTAAATTGTGTAATAATCAAATAAGCAAGATTAAAGATATTTTCTGATTAAATTGATTTAAGTTACTCTAAAGAATCATTTTAGCTATTTTATAAGGAGTAACATTTACATTGAATTTATCGATTCGAAGTTTGAAAGATAGACCAATTATGAATATGAGATGTGAAAGATAATATTTACCCAAATATGACCCGAATGATAAAAGGATATCAATCTATCTGAAACCTAGCATTTCATGTCCTGGATCTGTAAAATTCCTTATTTTATCGATAGTTTAACAAAGAAAAACGATTCGTGCAACCATCCTTACCGCGGCGTACTTGCGACGCAAACTGTGCTGAAGCTTGAGGTTTAGGAGCTCAAAAGTCGAACTCTCTCACATTGGGGCCACTGATTGATTGTATGGTTCAGAGATATAGGGCCCACTTCTTTCCATTCATCGTCTTCTCCCTCAATAATTCTATCACGCTTTACTTGGTTTGGTCATATGTCTGTTCATCTATGTAGGCACGGGCTACTCTACTAAGTGGGTGTGTTGGACACACGGTTAAGGTAAAAAAATCACATACAATTTTAAATAAGAGCTATGTCCGGCCGTCTCATACGGTTAAGTTTAACAATTGTTTTTAGCATCTTATTCATTAAGTCTAGTGTACTCATACCAAATTTCAGCTACAACTTTAATCGGGAAAACATTCAAATGAATTCTTGAAGATAACTGTGTCTTTTAACTGCGCAGCTATCTTCAATAATTCATTTGAATGCCTTCTAGATTGAAGTTTTAGCTGAAATTTGGTATGAGTGAACTAAACTTATATCGAATAAGTCACTCAAAAAATTTCATCAAAAACTTCCACCGGGAACTATCAAATAAACCCTCGAACTTTCATAAAAAATGCAAATAAGCCCTATTACATGAGGCTTTGTCCGGCTGTCGCCATTTGGGGCGATTTCCGGTGACAATTTTTGATGAAAAATTTTAATCATCTTCTTCATTAAGTCTAGTTTATCCATACAAAATTTAAGCTAAAAATTCAATTGAGAAGAGAGTCAAATGATTTTCGAAATATACTACGCTATCTAATCACGCAGTTATCTTCAAAAATTCATTTGACTGCCTTTCCGATTGAATTTTTATTTGAAATTTGGTATGAGTAAACTAGACTTAATAAAGAAGATATTCAAAAAAAATCATCAAAAAATTCTACCGGAGACCATCCCAAATGGCGACAGCCGAACAAAGCCTCCTAAAAAAGAGCTTATTTGCACTTTTTATGAAAGTTCGAAGGCTTATTTGATAGTTATCCATTTAACCTTTTTATGTAAGTACAGGGGCCTTTGACCCTTTTCCCTTAAAATAATAAAATTTGGGATGTGTCAAAACTAGGGTGTTCATCGGTAGGAGTGACAACGAGTCGGATTTATATCAGGTGAAGGCCAATCCATGTCCACCCGTTAACTTTTCATATTTCACTCATCCGTCCATTATCCATTAAACATCACATCCACATCCAACTCATCCATCATAAATGGGTTATCGGGTGGATCTGGTGAGTAAGGATGTTTTTACTTGGATTGTAATTTGCTAGTCTGGTCTGGTCTGATCCGGTCTGGTACTCTGGTCTGGTCTGGTTTCTTTGTATTTTTATAACTATCCAAGTCTGGTCTGGTCTGAACTGGTCTGATCTGGTATGGTCTGATCTGGTCTGGTCTGGTTTCTTTGTATTTTTATAACTATCCAAGTCTGGTCTAGTCTGAACTGGTCTGGTATGGTCTGGTCTGATCTGATCTGGTCTGATCTGGTCTGATCTGGTTTCTTTGTATTTTTATAACTATCCAAGTCTGGTCTAGTCTGAACTGGTCTGGTCTGATCTGGTCTGGGACCAATTACAGTTCAAGTAAAAACATCCTAACAAGCGAATATAAATGGTCTAACTTGAAAAACAAAATAAATAAATTATAGAGAAATAATGAAAATTAAAAATAAAAAATTAAGAATTCATTGAATAACAACAAAAACTTGAGCAATTAAATATATTACAATCATTAATTCACTGTCGATAAAAAACGGACTGATTGTCAAACAAAATCGACATAAAACTTCTGCAAACTGTCAAATTCTACATTTCTGCATCGACACAAAACTATGTTTGCATTTCAACTACCACCTCCTGAAACTCTTCAATTGTCTTTATTTTACCGATTTATAGATATGTGTCCGAGAGAGAGAGACAGAGATTCTCATGTGCAATAGGGAAGAAGATACGCTGTCTAATCGCGCAGTTATCTTCAAAAATTCATTTGAATGTCTTTCCGATTGAATTTTTATTTAAAATTTGGTATGAGTAAACTAGACTTAATAAAGAAGATGCTCAAAAAATTTCATCAAAAAATTCCACAGGAAAGTACCCCAAATGGTGACGGCCGGACAGTGCCTCCTATCTAAGGGCTTATTTGACTTTTTTTTTGTTAGTATGTGGGCTTATTTGCCCCTTTTTCCGTTTAAAAATAAAAAACTGTTAAATCATATTTTAGAAATCTACGGTTCTTTTAGTCATATTATTAGTAATTTTCTCTAAAATTTAGTCCTACTATTTCCGAGATATGTAAAGCAGAACCAATACCGTGTATAACATGTCCAACAAGCAATAAAACACGCATGTAAGGTGTCAAAATGTTCTTTTTCCTGTCATCTATTCATGTGCCAACATGGATTCTTTAAACAGCTGCAGCAAGAACATTCACAGTCCAGATGCTAGCAATTTTGGGGAAAGAAACTGCAACAAGATCAGCATTATGAAATAGTTGCTTCCGGTGAATAATAAATAGCCTATGTTGAGTATTTTGAGCCTGAACTATAATCCTGAAAAAGGGAACAAAATGATATAAAATTGAAAGGATATATTTTCCAAAGATATCCCAAATGGAAGATGAATTTATGAAGGTTAGAAGAGAACAGGATACATCTAATGTTTCAAATGCATGTGGTTGGCAAAAATAACAGCATTTTCTGCAAATGTATGAATCACAGACCCAAAAGTGAACGTTCACAACCCAAAGATTCAAGTCATACGAGGTCGTAAAATCTAAAACCATGTCAAAGTGTTCTTCCAGCCAGCTCAATCCGGGCTCGGCAGCAAAAGTTGCTTATGCGCTACCTAGCAACATCAAGAAGACTGAACAAGCACACATTTCTGAGCATATTTTTTAGTTTTTGGATGTCATGTTGAATGTAGCATACAAGAAGGGTGTTAGGGGCCATTTCTATACAGATATAAACATCTACAAACGTCATTTCTGTGAACAAATAAATTTTGAAAGAAAAGAAAAACTCATTCTCTAAAAAAACTCTAGTGTTAGGGCTGTTCTCCAAAATGAAGATAACTTATAATCTATTTCTTAGAAGAAGAAAATATGTTTTTAGGGAAGAAAACAAATCAGCGACCCAGGCACACAGTGTCATCAATCCCATGTTTGAGTTTGTCTTATCACTTAAAATGCACTTTCTAGTATAACAATATCATTGTTTTTAGCTGATGACACTTGTGACTGACTAATATTTATACATGTTTAAATGAGAAGTATAGTTATATATCCACGTTTTTTCTAATGTTTACACGTGCCCTCAGGTTTTCTTGTAATAATTTTCTTCTTCTTTGAAAAATGGTTGTTCCCCCATGGCCGTCATCCCATTTCCCATTTCAGTACTACATAGTGCGTAATCAAGTAACCATTACGCTGTAAGCTACTATAATTCTATAACTAAGAGTACAGACTAGAAACAGAAGGCCGCTTTCTTTTATGCATCACAAATGCCGTTGGTACACATATTTTGTACACCCCCCTAGTTGACTGCTTGCACAAGCAATTCGTTCAGAAGCTGCCAGACAACTAGAGGGGTGTACATAATATGCGTACACCAACAATGGTTCTTCATACATTCTCCTATAGTTGTAGTACCTCGCTCAAGAAACAGAAAGACAAGCTAATCCTAGTGTGCCACTTTGTTGAGCCGGAACTTCATTGAATTCATTACGAGTATATAGTGATACACCCATTGACAAAAGTAAGCAACATAGATCTTAAGGTTTCTCAAAGCACAAACTTGACAAATATTGAGTATTGACATTTGTAATACAGAGTAGCATGACAATGTAACTTATGTTAATCAGTGAAGCAAAGAGTATCAAAATAAAGTTGTGTATAAGCACCCTGAGCAGCACACAAACGCAAAACAGGAAACATAATCATGCAACGAGAAACATCATTAAGAGTAGAAACGGTTGTAATAAAGGTTTCATTAGAGACTAAAAGCATCATTTCCTAAAGGTTACATAAAAGTTTTAGAAAAGTAGAAATGTCACCCCCTATGAGTTTCTGAGCATCATAGGAAGAACATACCAAGATTAGACCCACCCACTTGCTCCCATCTCCCAAAAGAAAAGAAAAACTTGCCAAATGGGTAATTTAAGACAAATATTTATGATCTCATAATTTAACTTATTGTTATTCAATTTGGTCATCATTATATTGTTTCGTGCTAAATACAGTATTGATTCGGCCCCAAAAAGAATAAAAGTAGTTAAATGTTCTAATTATCATAGGACACATTTATGAGAAGTCCCTTCAACAAATGCATGAGTGCCCAACCATTACAACCTTGGGAGATACTATAAGTCTATAACAAAATAGCTCCATTTCGAAGTGTTTGTCCTTATCATCTTCACAACAAACGTAAGTGATGGATGAAATCTGTTCAAACTGAGCACTTCTCATAATCATCCGTTTACCTTTTCCCTCCTTTAATAACCTGAGTGTTACACTAATGTTTCTCAAGATGCAAGCTTGATGACTATTAGGAGTATTAGCATTCATTATTGCAGGTTATTAAACTGATATACATCAAACACAACAACAACAACATCCAAGCCTTAATTCCAAAAGAATTTGGGGTCGCCTAACATGAATCGATCAATGATATCGATGCCAAACAGAAAAGACGGACAAGAAAGGGAAGAAAAATAGTAAGATAAAACGAATAAAATAAAGATAAATAAATATAAGATAACAATAACACAAGAATATAAGAAAAATAAAAGATAAAAAAGCTAGAATATAAAAATAACATAAGAATATACAAAGATAGAGAAAATAAACAATAAAAGAAATCCTACATACCAAATCACATTATCAATGGGAGCGCTTGTAAGAGACATGCTTCCTAGCTGCTCTAGCATTCTCGTATTCAAATTTCAATACATCTGGAATATCTGATGTGTCTTTAATATAAAAGAACCTCCCTAGAGCGGTCTCTTCCATGGATGGAAAATGACGTCTAATTTGAGAATTAACCACCCAGAACCAGGCGCCACCAAGCACAGCTCCGAGCCCCGCCCCAGCAAAAACCTGCGCCACAGAATGATATCCCAGATAGACTCTCGAATAGAGGGTTAAGATCGATAACGGCCAGATCACGAGAACGGCGACCCACATTTGGTACCGAAACAGGGATCCCAGCCTCCGGCGGGTGAGGAGGGTTAGGTATACGGCAAAGAAGAACATGTATTGAGAGTGGCTAGAGGGCCATCCGTGAGAATCGCACATCTCAAGGATGGCGCAGGTTTCGGGCCGGGCCTGCTGGACGGACTTTTTTATGATCTCATTGATGAACTGGGAAATGAGTAAGCCAATGGCGAAGAATATGCCCTGGAGCTCTCGGCGGAAGAGGAAGTGGGAGAAGAAACCGCCGAGGCTGATGAAGACGGGGACCAGCGAGACCCAGGCCAAGAAATGCCCCAGTTGATCGCCCTTCCGGTACCGGACGTGCGTGAGGGTCACGGCCTTCAGTGGAACATGAGACATGGATTGTTGCGCTTCGGGAAGGATATGCGATCTAAGATGTACAAAATCACAGTATAGTGAGGAGAAAGAAAGGGAAAATCCGTTGAAGGAGGAGGAAGAAAGCGCAGAGGAATTCGTACTCAGGAGTTCGTAAGAAGAACGAGATTGGACCAGATGAAAACTCTTAGGTGTCCGGTTCCGGCAAAATTTATACTCCGTATGTTACTACGGTCTACGTATTCGCATTTTTAAATTTATTTATTTTAATTTTTAAAAGTTTAAAAGTAAAATTTTACCAAAAAAGAAGTTTAAAGGTAATGAATACAGATTTTTTAAAGTATACTAAAATTTAGTCCAAACTTCACAATGTTCGAGAAAATGCGTATTTATGGATGTTTTTAGTTGGAATGAATTTTTTTGGTCAGATCGATTTTGTTTGGTCTTGTTTAGTCTGGTAAATGTCTAGTTTATGTGTATTTTATAAATATTCAAGTCTGGTTTGATCTAATATGGTTTGAGACACAAAATTGTCTAAGTAAAAAACATCATATGTTGACAAAAAAGAGGGATAGATTGAGGAAATTCAACTATTAGAGCACAAATTAAGTAAGGAATTTTTCCATAAATATAACTACACTCAAGTCAATTTTAAAAACTGGCCATTTAACATGTGAATAAAAATGTACGTAACAATGTCATATTTTTAGAAAAACATGATGACACTATAAATTTTCATGTCACTAGTAGAGATGTCTATGCCATATTTTCTTGTCACTAGCAGATGTCTATGCCATATTTTCTTGTCACAATCGGAGTTACTCCGGTTGTGAAACATGCCACTCTGATCGTCGTAAATTTTGTAGACGGTTTTTTCCATTGGCTTCGAAAAATGAGAAAAACAAAGGAAAAATATCATCACAAAATGTCAACGACTTTCCCGATGGCGTTTTTTGGCAACGAGTCTGGCCGCGATGGGTAGGTGTGGGGGAGCAGAGATTTCATATAAATTACAATGAAAAAGGATAAATTTATTAAAGAAAAGAAAAGAAAAGATTAGTCATATTTGGAAAAATGAAAAGTAACCACTTTTTTGTATTTCACAAATCTAAAAGTAATATTTGTGTCGTTGTTCTTTAAGTAAAAGCGAGTAAAACCAAATAATCATAAATTAACTTAAAAGGAAGGAAAAATTCAATGTCAACATAATAGAAGTTGAAGTCTAATGTCACCTAAAGCGAGACAGTAGATGCCTCTCTCTCTAGGGTTGCCGCCTCAGACAACGTCTAGCTTGTTTTGTTCGGCGATGTTCGCTTAGGCGAGTACGGCGCCGAGAAGGTTGTTGTTATTGGAACAAGGAGGGGATCACAAGGAGGATTTGGGCAAGGTTCTGGCAAAAGGTTAAAGCAACAGGTTTGTATGGACAGCTTCGTGGAAAAATACAAGAAGATGGCGATCGGGGCAGAGGAAGAAGAACTGGATCTAGTTGAAGCTGATGTTGAGGGTGTGGCGGATGAGCGGCGGGCGCGTCCCCCTCCTGAGCCGCTGCCATGGAGTGCAAGCAAATATAGGGTTTGGAAGAAGATGGGTGAACTCTATTTTAATTGCGTTTTATTCAGTTTGTGTTTTTCTGTCGAATTGCATGTTGTTTTGGACGTGTTATTTTTTCCTAGCAGATAAATTCTTAAATTTAGGTTAGGTGATGAGAAGTCTGGTTTGCCAGTCATTGGCTCAGTTATGCCCATTACAGGATCAGCGAATGTTATTGCTTCTACAGAGGTGATAGATTCTCAATCTGGTTCGAGAGCGGATGGCAGACATAAGACTTTTTATCGTTTTGTTTACTTTTTTTTCCTTGATTGTATTATCAGCCATGTGACGAACGTTATTTTGATTTAATAGATTAGTGGGATTTGACGAACGTTGTCTGAGGCGGCAACCCTAGAGAGAGAGGCATCTACTGTCTCGCTTTAGGTGACATTAGACTTCAACTTCTATTATGTTGACATTGAATTTTTCCTTCCTTTTAAGTTAATTTATGATTATTTGGTTTTACTCGCTTTTACTTAAGTTATAGGTAACCCGGATCAATATGAGAAAATAGATTAGTGGGATTTGATGACCTAATAGAAAATATATATTACATTGAAAAACAAATCACACGAATAATCTAAGTATCAACAATCTTCCGATATTAATCCAAAATTGAAATTTAAATGTCATTTTCTCATATTGATCCGGGTTACCTATAACTTAGTAACCGTAAAATGAAAACGAAGAAGAACAGCCTCCTTTCTCGCTGGCAGTAGTTTGCATCCAAAGACACTTCAAGGATGGTAGATGTCGGGTGGGGTGCAGCCCGTGTTGTTGGAAAATTCGTCGGATATACCTGCAAAAAAGCGTTAGAAAATAATATAGCTCGAGTCGTGTAAACGCTGTCCTCAAGAAAGTATTTCCGACTAGCGAAAATCTTTCCCCAAGATAAAACGAGCTCTTCGGCGTAAGCCGATAACAGAACAACGAGAGTAGAAAATTACTAATCCAGCAGAGTAAAAATAGAAGGGATGTTTTAGCTCAAAAATAATGTTTTTTTTCACACCCACTAGCCTGATCGAACACATATATATATATACTTAAAAACTCCAGCAAAAGAAAGCTAGAAGCGTTCATTGCCAACAAATGAGTAAAAATTACTCCGCATCATTTGATGCTAACGGTTTTATTAGTAAATAACATTATTACAATAATAAATGTAATTAATAATGACATTAATAATAAAGTCTCTCAAACGTTGGTTAGCAACGTTTAAAAAATAAAGAGCTGCAACGGTTTCAAAAGAGCTTCAATGTGAAACTTTATTAATTCATTTAAACAATACAACACAAAAATATTAGATAATAGAGATAATAATTTTGTATATTTTATTCATTTGAAATATTCCCAATTTTCCAACAATCCCCCACATATTTCAAATGAATAATTTTTGGAGTTTGGAAAAATAGTTTAGAAAATATCTACTAGATTAAAGGAATGAGACTTTAAGTTTGGTGTCCGTAGACTATGAACCAGACTGAGACGATTAAGTCTTAATAAACCGAGCTTTTGGTGAAACGTATAGTTTCTTGAACCAATAAGCTACTATTGGTAAATAAGGATCTTAACGGTCATGTCTCACCCCGCACAATTTCTCGTTATTACGCCGTTGTGCGCCGTAAGGCCATGCGCGTGCTTGGTGTTCATGAGTGCTCTAGAAGTTTTGTCATGCTTCGTGGAGGCGGCCCCACCTCACACTCATATAGGTGATATCATCAAGTGTGTACCGCTTTTGCACACCACCCTAAAATTCAGGGCTATGATAATCATTAAGAGCTTTTAGCTCACCCTCACAGAGAATGCGGTTTCTAGCCTATATCTCACATCATGGAAATGGGCAAATTTAATTAGGCTAGCAGAACTAAATGGAAGACTTGTTATTACCCATTTGAACTTGCTTCATGGGATCTCCAATCACACAAGTTGGGTTCCCATCCCCATTTGTTTCAAAGTGACACTAGTCCCATTTCCTTCGATGTTTCGGTTATCATTTTTCGTCCTAGGGCTTTCGTCAAAGGATCCGCTAGATTACCTTCTGACCTCACAAAATTAATGGACACAATTCCATTCTTCAATAATCGTTTAATGATTTTGTGTCTTAAACGAATGTGTCTATTCTTCCCATTATAACACATTTTCTTAGCAGTATTTATTGCACTTTGGCAATCACAAAGAATAGACACCGATGGTGTTGGTTTTGTACCAACCGGAATTTCTGCTAAGAAATTTTTCAACCACTCCGCCTCATTACTAGTCACTTCCAAAGCTATAAGCTCGGACTCCATAGTGGATCTAGAAATGAGAGATTGTTTGGTTGATTTCCACATAATAGCACCACCTCCAAGGGTGAATATATATCCTGTATTGGATTTAATCTCATCTGAGTCAGAGACCCAGTTAGCATCGCTGTATCCCTCTAGTACAGCGGGTAAACCTCTATAAAATATACCATAATTCATGGTACCTCTCAAATATCTCAGTAACCGCCTCAACGCGGTCCAATGATCCCCATTTGGATTATGGGTATATCGGCTCAATCTTCCGACAGCATAGGCTATGTCGGATCTCGTATAGTTCATTAAATGTAATAAACTCTCAATTATTTGTGCATATTCATATTGAGTCTCAGGATCACCTCTATGTTTTGCCAAATGTGTATTAGAGTCATAAGGGGTATTCACAGGTGTGACATTGAAATGTCCAAACTTCTTTAGAAGTTTTTCAGCATAATGCTCTTGAGATAGTATGACACCATCATCCTTCCTTATGACTTTAATACCTAAAATCAGTTTTGCTTCACCCAAATCTTTCATATCAAATTTTGAGGCAAGAAATGATTTTGTCTCATTTATTAGCTCAAGGTTGCTACTAAAAATTAACATTTCATCCACATACAAGCAAATAATAATGCACACACCATTTTTTATTTTACTGTATACACACTTATCTACTTCAAGTGAGGTAAAACCATGAGCAAATGATACTTCATCAAATTTTTCATTCCATTGTTTTGGAGCTTGTTTCAAACCATACAAAGATTTGATCAACTTACACACTTTGTGTTTCTGTCCAGAAACTACATGCCCCTCCGGTTGCACCATATAAATTTCTTCCTCTAATTCACCATTTAAGAACGCTGTTTTAACATCCATTTGATGGATAAGAAGTTTGTGAATAGAAGCCAAAGCAATTAAAGTTCTGATGGAAGATATTCTCGTTACCGGTGCAAAAGTATCAAAATAATCAACATCTTGTTTTTGAGAAAATCCTTTTGCCACAAGCCTCGCTTTATATTTGTCAATTGAACCATCCAGATTAAATTTCTTTTTAAAAATCCATTTACATCTGATTGGTTTGCACCCTTTAGGCAAATCAGTTAAAATCCAAGTTTTATTTTTCTGGATAGAAGCAATTTCATTTTGAATTGCCTCAAGCCAAAAAGGAGCCTCTTTTGATGAAATAGCTTGTGAATAAGTAAAAGGTTCATCATTAACAAGATATGTATAAAAATCATTTCCAAAAGATTTTTCTATTCTTGGCCTCTTACTTCTTCTCAAATTAGAGGGTTCATCATTAAAAGTTTCATTTCTTTTAATGGCTCACTTTC